ATTGCCCACCGGGTGCAAATGTCCGTGCTCGGAGAGAAGACTCAGGGTAAGCTCATTATTCGTCCACATAAGCGACAGTGACCCAAGTAAATGATTAGGATTAGAACAGGTTTTGTGGATCGTGGCGCCCCGTCTCATCGAGATCGATTTTACTGCCAAATTTCCCCCCTTGTTCGAGCGGTGGCGCTGGCTGAAGAACTTATTTCTCTCGTTAAGCGGTGGGTATTTTCTTGAACCGTACTAATATTGGGTCTTGATCAGACCGTATCGCACCGCAGAGGAAAATCTACTGAGATTCCAAAATCGTTTACGGGAACCTCTCTGCCTACAGCTAGCGAAGATCTTCAATTTTGAGTCTGAGGACCCAGAAGGCACGAATTTGACTCTGGACCGACATGAGCTCCTCTGTCCATTGGTGGACCTGTACTTCATGAGGTATCACGTGGGGCTACAACCGAGACCAGTGTTAGACTGTGAGAGATTGAATTTTCTTCATTCGGTGTGTCACTGACGACCATGATCGTAGTCGAAACTCTGGAACAAGTTCTTGCTCCAAACATAGCAAAGATAGTCGCATTGGCGCTGCGAGCGAGCACTGACTCGATGGTCTCTGCAGGAGTTTCCATTCTGCTTGCTTTATCTGAAAGATGGCACCCAGGCTTCTCTGGGGAGAGGGAGGAAGGAAATGCTGCGCCGTCAGCTCAGGTTCGAGAAGACGTGTACCGGACCTTGAAAACATCTCTGCTTTCTCGCGAAGTACCTGTAGGCTTTATGCGCTTTCTCATGGCCAAAATAACACGTTCGTCACCAGTCATGATGATTCAGTCATACATTACTAATGGCTGGCTCCTAGAGATTGAAAGGAATAGGATTAGGGGGGCTAGTCCGAGCGATAAAGCGTACTCAAGCAATGAAGAGGCTGCAGGAATGACAGATACACAGAGGTTGGAATGCATGGCTGCGGAGCTGCTCCGTTGCTTTATCAAGCCAAGGTGGAACGACAATGAGGCTGTACAGCTCCTTGTGGACCTAACGTCGGACGGTAAGCACTTAGAGCTACTTGTGGTACCGATGTTGGCCTACTAATGCTGCCACCTCAGTTGAATACTACAACGCAGCCATGACTTGTTTTTCGGACCAAGACAAAGATATCTGGAGCCAGAGCCTGAGTGATCACGGCGGTGCCTTGCCCTTGGTGGCATCCCTCCTTCAATCTCTGGTGGTCAGAGGCGAGTCTGAAATCTCCTGGTAGCTCTTGCCTACTAAATCCTTTCACCTAGGGTGGAGCGGAGGCGTCGACCTTCTCCTGGATCTGGCTCTTCACAGTACCCACATTGATACTCGTGATGTAGCAATCAGGTCGCTGCTTTCGTTGTCAAACAATCGAGGTATGTTGGTTTCGTCATTGGCGTTTACAGGATACCCATATTCGGGCCAACAGATTCATGGACAACCATCAAGGATGGGATTGAGTCAAGAATTCGAATGACGGCTCTGAAGCAACAAACGGTGGACAAGGCTGCCCAAGACGCCACTACGGACAATTGGAAATTGCTACTGGTCGCTCTGTCTACGAACGGTATGGTTATTGGCAGGCACAATTCTACTCACATATCCTCTTTTAGCTACGACGATGGATTTCTGTTCTTTCCTCCTTGGCTGCATGGACAACCGGAAGATCGCTGACCAAGATCTCGCCCTGCCCGCGGCCCCTCCACAAGTGGAACTATCCGACTATAGGAAGCAGATAGAGAATCTCAGTCTCCATTCAAATGTGCATATCAGACAAGCAGCCCTGGAATTCCTGGCAGTGACCATCCCTGAGCGTATGTATCCTATATGGCCCAGTTACAATCTGCTGATATCCTTCAGCTGATGCACAGGGTGTGGTAAAACAATTGGTAGGACTTGCCCTCAGCCATCCCGATGATCACTTCAAACGATTTTGTTTGAGTCGGCTGGTTGACATTACCTCAAATGGTATGTAATGATGTCCATTACTCGCAGGACTTGGTTAACATGCAGGCGCCATTAGTGAAGTTGATTCCCCCCCCTGATTGCCGTATGGACAACGTCGATCAAAGGATGTTGGCTTCTGTGCCAGATGGCTCCTTGCGCAAAGAATGGATAAAATTGCTGAGAAATGTGTCTCGCACGGTCAGTTGCACAAGTCTCCGCTCTAAACGCATGCTCATGTTTCCACCAGGGACTTATCAGGGTGGCTTCATTTCGCTCGTTCCGAATGCAGAGACAGATGAGCATTGGAGGTAAGGGCGGCGGCTATAGAATCTCTCCAACATCTGGCAGGTAGGAGAGATACCCTTGCTAGGCTGACATGGCCAACTAATAAAAGATTCTAGATGATCGGATACTGGCAGAGGCCATTGTCATGAAAGCAGCACTTGGACAGAAGGCAATGGCAGGGCTAAGGGACCCAAGTGCTCAAGTACGCAAAGCTTGGGCTTCAACTCTGGGCCGTTTTTCTAATAGGGGGTGAGCAAATACTGAAATATTATCCAATCTGTGCTGGTTAATCAGGCCCTTTTCAAGGCAACTGGAAAGAGGGCCATGATGTCCTGATTGACATGGCATTCCACGACAACGAGCGTGATGTTCGGCACCATGCTTATGGCGCAATTGATGCACTATTGGGTTCAGGATGTGAGAGGTGCTTGATTTCTCATATGTGCATCAATTTGACATGTTCCGATAGCCGCTCCCGCAGCTTCAGCTTTGGCTGCTTTGACTGATGCCCTTGAATCCGTACTTAAAGGAAACAGCTACCTTCGTTGCTTTTTCACAGACTTTGGCAGTGCAGGAAGTCATAGTGTTGGTAGTCTGCTAACCTTGAGCAACGATCTGGTATCTGCTGTTTTGCATCCCCTGATCAAAAGGGGCTGGTTGATTTGGAAGGATCACATTGGATGGATTGTGCTCTAACCTCCTTTTGCCGCTAATGCAAGCTCAGGTGCGTCGACACAGGTACCTGCTGTAAAAAACATATTGAAGTATGCTTCACAGCCCATTACAAATTATCATGCAGTGTGTGGTTGAGAATCTTGGAGCCAGTAGCCCTCGTGGGGCAAAGAAGGCAATGGAGATGGTTTCTTTTAGTAAGTATAGCTATAGTCATGTCGTTCCGAAGCTTAACAAACCTCATCCAATAGTGTGGCAAAGATCAGATCCCTCCTGGCATGTTGAACCCTTTATTTGCCTGCCTTCATCCCTTGTTCCAATTGCAAAGCTTGACACATGTACGTGCTGCAGCTGTCGATATTCTTCCACCATTTTCTCGGGTGAATGTAAGTTGATGGCAGACCACCATGCCCCTTCAATGCCCTCCTAATGGTTCATAGACAGCTACAGTGGCACCACTGATGTCATGATCCCTCCTCTTGTCTCAATGGCCATTCAGGACCCTGACAATGGCTTACGCAACAAAGCAGCAGAGTTACTTTCTGTTATCTGTAGTTCAGGTATGCTGCAATTTAGAGTATCAAGAACCTCCTAACATTGTGCTTTGAAGATCAATTTTTTGCAAGGCGTGAAGTGGCAGCCCCAGCCAACATCCAAAGATTCCTAGACCTCTTGTCTGCCCCGAGGCCGCTCAATGCGACAGTTGCTCGGCTACTTGGTGTGCTCTACCAGCATGATGATGGTGTGTTGATACAGTTCTGGCAATTGCAAGGTTACCAGACCATCTGGACTAATTAATGGTCTCCTAGCCCGTGAATGGATCAGCCTGTGGGTCATCAATAAAGCTGTGGGAGCCCAAGATATCCTGTCCACCTTTGAGCATGGTATCCTTTCCCTTCTCTCTGAGCTTGTTAGCAAGCGTGCGTCCCTGATTGTTCAATGGTTGCCTAATCCATAACTAATAGTCCTTCAACTCTTACAGGGATATTGGACTCAACTGTCACACTGGACTATCTCTTGCTTCTTCTTTCAGCATCACTGGCATTTAAAGGCACTCCAACAACAGAACCATATCGACCATTGATCCTTACCTCGTTGTCACTCTACTACCAGAACCAAATTCCAGGCCGGCAGAGTGAGACAGTTGGAGAACTTGCCCGTGCATTCGAGTATGCAGCATTTGGGAGGCATGGGACAGAGCTAGAAGCCAATGCTTGGCTAGCAATGGATCAGTATCTTAAGGATCATCCAGATCCATTGCAAAGTTTGTGATACACCCTTTCTATTGGAGAGCAAAAGACTGATGCTCATGTACAGGTCTTCGTCAAAATAATGATGTTGAACAAGTAAATTCCTGAGGGAAGACTGCATAAGGAAATGTGGCCATTCAACAAGTGCCTGATATCTGCCATCTCAACTAGCATTGCTTCTGTTACTACCTCATACCTGGGCCTATCAATAGACACTGCTTTTGATCTTCAACTGCTGCAAGACTTGCAAGGTGGGAAGGACCTTGCTTTCCTTCTTGAGAAGGACGACAGTTAAGTTGCAACTTGTATTTCAACCGACATTGGCAAAGATAAACATTCTTCCTGGAACAGCTGTGCAGGATAAATTTTAGAGAAGACTTCTTGAACAAGGAAGTTGTTGAATGCAAGCTGCAAAATCAGGACAGACTGTGATGTCTTGCTGATTACAGTGATACCAGTAGGAGTTGTGTAAGGGAGCATTAGGTTAGGGTCGGATCCCTTTAGCCGCCGCGCCGTGGTCGTTGCTTCTTTACCTCTTACCACATCCTTGATTTACCTCGATATCGTCACTACGCCTGTGTGCACCTAGTCTATCTGCTATAGAACTGGTCGTACGCACTTGTGACATGAGGTACTGAGGAACTAGGAGGTCCCCACCCGGGAAAGGGCATTTTCCCGGACACAACCCTTACAAGTTGCCCCCTAGTGCAGGCTTGAAGCCAGAACTCCGAACCAAGATGGTTGACGACAGCCTGTGCATTAGCTATGCACGCTTCGGCCGGAGTTTCCGGTCAAAACGATCTGAGCCAAACGCAGCATGAAATGGCAAAAAAGTGGACACTGTGGGAATTGAACCCACGACCTCACGCATATGCCAGATGCGAAGCGTGCGCGCTACCCCTGTGCCAAGAGCCCTATAGCCAAATCGAGTGGCTGACAGCTCAGAAGCGCCACCACTGGACAATCTGCTCGTCAGCAGATTGAGTACGAACACAGCCCGTTTCGGGCGATCATGCATTGCAAAGGGCTTGTACTGCTGAAGAATCTTAATCTTCATGGCTAAGAAGTCATCTTTCTGCACGCATGCTAACCTATCCGAGCTCAATAATGTAAGATTGTCGAACCAGCTCGAATATGACCATGAGCATCTGAAGGAATCTGAGCGGTAGCAGGGCCACAAGGGGTCAGAGGCGTTTTAGCACCATGGGGACTTTTAGCGGGTGCTTTGTATCGCAAGCGGCTGCCGGATAGTGCCCAGCAGGTGGTTACAAAGTGCTTCCGAGTCGGCCTGCGAGGTTCTAAGAGCGGTTCACCTCAAAACCTTCGCAGACACTGAGACCTTTAGCAATCTTAGGGCCATTCAAGAGCAAATTTATTACTGCGATTACCTCCTTGTACCCTCTCGCGCACTGGATTTTTCTGACAAGACATTGCCCAGACTCATCAAGAATGACACGGAGTTAAAGTCCATGCGGTACGATGAAACTCGGCCGTGTTCCATGTTGCTCCATGTGCATAGGGGAATCCTAGGATACCACGCTCTTGCAAGCGCTTGCGAGTCAAATTTGATGAGCATATGGATCTCCGTAGTGACACGGGCGGTGCCCATACGATAAGGGAGGATCTACAACTGCAAAGATTCAACAAAGATCAAAACGCACCTTTTCAGGTGTTCGTCCGATTGGTGCGAATGCGCCACAAGGCGTATATAAGGCTGCATCCAAGAGAAGAAATTCCTCAGAGCGTTTGATACGTCTTCCACCCCCACCTCCAGAACAATCTCTTCGTCGCAGGTCGACTTCACCAACTCTTTTCTACTCTTCATCTACTCCCCTTCGCATTCATTCAATCAATCACAATGAAGCTCACCGCTACTTTCGCTGTTTTGGCCGTTTTTGTCGCCAAGGCTTGTGTCGCTGCTAGCCCATACGCTGGTGATGACTACGACCTTGCTCTCCGTTCCGATTTTGCCGTGAGTTTTCAAACCCCCCTCTGATGTCTTTTTCGTGTGTTGAATTTTGGTTTTAGGACGAGATCGATGCCCGATTCTTCAACGACGTCCTCGATGAGGTCGACGCACGAGAGTTTGTCGACGACCTGCTTGAGGCAAGGGAGTTTGATGACGATCTGCTCGAGGCCCGGGACTACGATGACGACTTCGAGGCTCGTACGATCGACACCTTCCTCGAGGACCTAGCCGAGAGAGACCCTCCTAAGATGGTGAATGTGTACGTCTCGGCCGCTTCTCTAGTCCAACCCATGCTGACCTCTACATATGTAGTGTTACTCAAGCTCAAATTGCTGCCAAGGGCGGCAAGCCTCTTCCGGCCAACAGCAAGTGGCACTCCACTCTGGACAAGGTCAAGGCACAGCAACAGAAGAAGCGCTCCATGGAATACTTCGTTGACGAGCTATTCGAAAGAGACCCTCCTAAGATGGCGAACGTGTATGTCTCACCGTCTTTATTTGTCCAATGTATACTCATTCCTGTTCAGTGTGCTCCAGGCAATGGAGGCCGCGAAGAAGAACAAGGGCCAGCAAAAGAAGCGCTCCTTGGACTCTCTCATCGACGACCTCTCCGCGAGGGACCCTCCTAAGATGGCCAACGTGTGCGTCCCAGCTACTTCCCTACTAATCCAACCAATTCTAACGTCGATGCAGTGTGCTACAGGCAATGGAAGCCGCCAAGAAGAATAAGGGTCAGAAGAAGCGCTCCCTCAACGCTTTCGTCGACGACCTCTTTGAGAGGGATCCTCCCAAGATGGCCAATGTGTACGTCTCGCTCTTTATCCTCGTCCAGCTTATGCTAACGTCTCCGAAGTGTGACTCAGGCTCAAATTGCTAACAAGGGTGGCAAGCCCCTTCCGGCCAACAGCAAGTGGCACAGCACCCTGGATAAAGTCAAGGCTCAGCAACAGAAGAAGCGCTCCCTGGACTACTTTGTTGACGACCTTTCTGAAAGGGACCCTCCTAAGATGGCCAACGTGTACGTCTCACCATTTTTCTTTGTCAGCGTACACTCACGTCTGTTCAGTGTGCTACAGGCAATGGAGGCCGCCAAGAAGAACAAGGGCACGAAGAAACGTTCGCTAGATTCTCTCATCGAGGACGTCTTCGAGAGGGATCCTCCCAAGATGGCCGATGTGTACGCCTGAACCACTTCCTTACCAACATAACTTATACTAACGTCGATGCAGCGTACTCCAGGCAATGGAGGCCGCCAAGAAGAACAAAGGCCAGAAGAAGCGCTCGCTTGACTATTCCGTCGATGATCTCGTTGAGAGGGATCCTCCCAAGATGGCCGATGTGTACGTCACTCTTTTCCTTTGTCCAACGTATGCTCATATCTGTTCAGTGTGCTGCAGGCAATGGAGGCTGCTAAGAAGAACAAGGGCCAGAAGAAACGCTCGCTTGACTCTCTCATCGACGACATCTTCGAGAGGGATGACAAGAAGCCCAAGGCGTGCGTATCCTTCTCCTACTCTTACACCGGCTCGATCCTAACGCCCTGGATCATACGCTATAGTAAACCCGCTCCTGCGAAGAAGGACAACAAGGCCAAGAAGGCTCCTGTAAAGGTCGCTGACAGGAAAGCCTTCAAGGCGAGGCAGGAAAAGATCATCAAGGAGGGGTTGTAATCGGAGAGTACTTGTAGTGGTTTATATGTTGGAATTTCTTAAGGCTGTATCCTTATTATAATATGATTGTTCTGAGCTGGAACCACGATCTGCGAGACTTCTAAGCGCCAACTTCGATACCTATCTAAGCTTCTGATTTCGTATGCGCATGCCCCCTTCATGTCCTCAACATCCCCTTCAACGCCACAGACTCTGGTGATATACGGCGCGCGGGTAGACCTGTGACTGGTCCCTCGGCGAAGGTTGTGAGACGAACCTCGCTAGCCCTCGAGTGCGAGTGCGAGGGAATGGTTACGCGTCTAGCGCGCAGGGACCGTTACTGAAAGAATGTCACGCAAAGCGGAGACTTGGGAGAGGCGCACGCAGTCCGTCGTGCAAATTACATAGCAGGTTGCAGCAGAACAAAATGCTGTACAGAGTTTCGTTCTTCATCGACACCGTAGCCAAGTGGTTACGGCGACAGATTAGAATTGCTTTGGCTTCTAGACATCTGTTCCTCTTTGAGGGCGCAGGTTCGAATCCTGCCGGTGTCGATTTTTTATGCATCTATCCCCCTTTTTACCCTTCATTACTCTTTCATGATTCTGGATTTCTGTGTGTTGGCATTTCCCCTTGAGAACATTCCCTCCCATGGCTGCTGCTCTGTCTAGCCTATCAGTTGATGCATAGGGTTTGATGATAGGGGCCTCCTTCCCAATCAAATGGGAGACGCGCCACCCGCGTGTGCCATTGACTCCGAGCCTTGACCATCGACCACCACCACGACTGATAACCGCCATGGACATTGACATCGTCGACGAACCAGCGACCTACCAGGGTAACAGTTCAAACCAGCCCACGAGGAGGCCGATCCTTGCGCCCGTGGATGATGCTCACCCTTTCGATCTCGAGGGTTACATCTCGAATTATACTGGTGAGATTTCCGTCTTTTGGGTGTTTTTGGGACGAAGATGGTGCTGGTATTGGGCTCCGGTCGGGTTGTACACTAAGCCTGTGGTCCTCCTGGCCCAAACACTGTCTAAAATTGAGACACAGTTCACTGACTCGACCATCGTCTCACAGGCCGAACCGCCATCGAGCGACTCATCCATATTATCCTCACATGCCCGTCCATCGCACCCGAAGCATTCCAGCTCGCCGTGCAACACATCCACCAATCTCGTGACCCATCTCTGTACCAAAACTTGCTCTCCGCCTACGAACAGTCTGCGTCCAACTCGAATGCCACGGGTGGACCTGGCCTGCCGAATCCACATGATCTAGCGCAGTTGGATACCAAGTGGATGGACGAGGCGATTGCGAGGAACCAAAGTGAGAGGACGAAGCTTGAGGTGGAGCTCAAGACATATACGAACAATATGATCAAGGAGAGCATCAGGGTGAGTGTTCGCCGATGTTTCATAGAGGCGAACGAGGCGCTGACCAGGAGATGCTGTTGTTAGATGGCGCATAGGGATCTGGGCAACTTTTACAGAGACCTCGGCGACTATGCCGCGTCTTTGAAGCATTACACCAAATCACGCGAATTCTGCACGACGAGCCAACATGTACTTGACATGTGTCTGTCTGTTCTCGAGGTACGTCTTCCTTTCTCTTCTCCCTCACTCTCTTTCTGATAATCACGATCCGTAGCTCCTGATTGAGCAACGAAACTACTCCCACCTGACGACGTACGTCTTCAAAGCCGACGCAGCATTGGACGCAGCCAAAGCAGCCGCTGCTCCCCCTCCTGCTGCTGCTACGGCAGGCGTCACAGCTGCCGGAGCGGCACAGCAAAAGAAGAAGGCTGCTGGTGGTGGGGAGAGGGAAGACGTGCAAGCCAAACTTAGCCTCGCAACTGCTCTTTCGCATCTTGGCCAAGGCAACTATGAAAAGGCGGCTACTTCTCTGTTGAACGTTGGGTCGCCTAGTAACTTGGGTGATTGGATTGGCAAGGTTCGTCTTTCGTTTCTGCTTCTTTGATCTTGGGGTAAAAAGTGACTGATACACCCTGAAGCTCGTCGCACCGGGCGATATTACGATCTACACCACCCTCTGCGCTCTCGCCACGTTCCCTCGTGCATCGATCAAATCGAGGTTGCTCGAAAACACCAATTTCACGTTGTACATGGAACATGAGCCCTACATCCGGGACCTCATCCAAGCGTACATGAACAGCAACTTTAAAGTCGTACTTGAGCTCCTCAACCGGTACTCTGTAAGTCTCTACCCTTTCCTACCACTATACAATTCTTCGAACAGCATTGCTCAACCACGGTAATATAGACGAGACATTATATCGACGTGCACCTCGCACCACACGTTCACGATCTCTCCAACCTCATCCGGAACTGGGCTGTCGTCTTGTATTTCCAGCCATTCGCGACGATTCGATTGGATCGGATGAGTGCTGCGTTTGGATGGACGGTGGAGGAGGTTGAGCAGCAGGTTGTAGGCCTCATTCAGAGTGGGCATATCCAGGGACGGGTGGATAGCCAGAACAAGGTGTGTCTTCTGCTTTTCCCTCCCTATTTGAGGGTTATATTGTTAGGCAAGGAAGGTGTTGATCGTTGCGTGGTTGTAGATTCTGCAAGCCAAGAAGACGGACCAGAGGGCTGAGCTCTTCGCTCGTGCGATCAAGGCTGGCTCAGAGATCCAAGCTGCGAATCGAAAGTTGTTATTGCGTATGAAGCTGCACGTCCTTTCCCTCTTGTCGTTATGTTTGATATTTTGAAATAGCTGACGTTGGTGTGTTATGTAGGCAACAAGCTGATTTGGTGATCAAGCCGCCAAAGAGCCTTGGTGGAGCAGGCTCGCTGATGGGTATGGATTATCTTCCTGGAGGGGATTAGATCAGTATGTTCTTGCAGTGTTTCTGTGTCCACTTCCAGCTTTCTTGTACTTTTTACAACTCGAAATCACTTCTTTCTCAGCTGCTTGAAGAATTCCAATGAAGGGCGATGAGAGTCATTCACAATACTTGATTCCGATGCTCGCTGATGCTTTCAGCTGTCTAATCCTTACATTGGCAACACTTTATCATTCATTACAAGTTTTGCATAGCTTCTACCAATTGTGAAGAAGAATCTGTGTCGTTTCTCTCTTCTCTCTTTCTTTTTCTGTTGCGCCATCGTTTCCTCCTCGCTACCTCCTCTTCCGCCAAAGCCCACTTGCAAACCCAAGGTTCCCATTCAGAGGGCCAACCTGCCCATTGCTCGACCGGATCGTCGTCATCCGCCGATGAATACACGATCCTGATATCGATAGGCACACGGTGGGCGTCCGCTCGCTCTGTATCGACCAGTACAATCTCCAAGGAGGGTCTCTCTTCGAGAATTGACGCCAAATCCACTTTTTCGTGTAATTCTGGTACGAATAGGGGCCAGTAGAAGATTTCTAGGTGGGTGAGGGTCGTGCACCAGACATGTAGAGATCCTCTGTGGAGACCTTCATGCTCAATTTGGAACTGTTCGTAGGCAAGTCCAATACGCATTAAAGGGAGGTTGGAGAGTAAACATGCCATTGAGGTTTTCAGGGAATATTCAGTTGTTGTGCTACGGGTCTCAGAGGGCCAGATGAGCCAGAATGCTAGATCGACGACCCCGGTGCTGGTGCAGGTGGAGAGGATGTGGCTGGCCGCTTGCATAGATATTGCGTTGTATGTGATGCAACTGCGCGTTTGAATGGCGATTGTGTGGAACATTTGTGGGTGGACCCTGCATCTCATTTACCAGTGCGGTTAATATTTTGTAACGAAGACTTGCCACGAAGCTGCGCTCCGGGATACCAGGGATAGATTTGGGCCATATGCAGGGTCGCCATCCGTGGCCAGTTGGAAGATGTGGGCTTGTAGCTCTGGAGGTAGAGAGGAGAATGGAAACGTCATTGAGGAGATGGAGGGAGAAATTAGGCGCCCTACGGCACAGCCACTAATGGGGCATGTTTTTCCGGGAGTAACGATTCGGGTAAAGTTTGCGGTATTTCTGCACCGTGCTTCTTGGGCTTTCCTTGCATGAGAGTATGAGATTGTGGTTAGATTGTTCACTGCTATAATAGTGATCCTGCCTTCCATGAGCTACTATTACCGCGAGGGAAATCGTGCAAGGATCTGAATCGTCCACTGGCCGCTAGCTTCGCTGGCTCTTGGCACTGCGAATTCAAATATTGAAAGTTGATACCTCAAAGGTGGGGACACGTCGCAGCTGCTCTGCCAAACCCGCGGGGCGATGGAGGATGGGAAGTTATCAAACAAAGGGCTGCAGTGGTACGCTGACGGGATAAACCACTAAATACTCGGACTACACTAAGGAGACTGGGGTGAATCTATATCCATGCTGAACCTTGGCCATTTCCCTGTCATCCGTTGCGCCGTCGTTTTGATTTTGGTACTTCTTCTGTTTCGGGCCAGCTTTGACGCCTAAACGGTTTTCACCCTTCTTATCTCTTCTTCCAGGGCTCACCTTCTACTGCCTTGTGTTCTTAAGGTACCAAATCCTCGACATTGACAGGTTCCTCACCTGTGGCCAGGTTTGAAATAGTCCGGATATTGGCGGGTCTGGGGCGGCGGCCGGCGTCAGGTATTTATATATATACATGCTCATTTTCAGCAAGTACGATTTGCAACGAAGGTCTTTGACCAGGGAAGGAGCTCGAAGTTGAGCTTTGGTATTCAAACGGGCCGTTCTATGCGTGAAGAAGTGAGTGTCTCGTAGCGGGGGGACATGGGAGGTGCCCCAATTTAACGGGAAATATCGAGAAAAATAAGCGTGGTGCTCCTGCCAGGTAACGACCCTGTACGTTGTACTTTTGCGCTCAATTTCCACGCGGGAGACACGGCTTGGACACGGCTGTTGGAATTAGGCGCCCTGCGACACAGCCACTGATGGGGCACAGTGCCAAACCATCGAGTGTTCGTTGTTCCTTGCACTCACCGTCATGTTTTGAATTCACGTTTCAGAGTACAACTTGCACGCAGCACCCAGAAGGCTAGGATGTGCGAGAGAATACATCTATTGCAAGAATCACTAGCGACCATATGGCTGGGCGCTCCGATAACAAAACGCCGACGTCCAACTGAGTGACATTCTGACAGGCTGCTCGGACTTCAGACATCTGGGAAGAGGGGAAAGGCGGTCTGAGGACGGCTTTTCCTGCTTGTTCCCTGCTTTTACCTACAGCTACGAACATGTCTGATACAAAGCACAAGGTAACTGGTCTCGAATGCGGCGGAGGTGTTGACCAGCTAATGACTCTTTTCAGTTTTCTCCAGACGACGACCGTGCTGAGACAGGCTCGTACGCAGAATCTACCGCCTCCGATTCAGAGAAAAATGAACCCAACGAGGAGTTCAGTCACAATGCAAAGTCGTGGGGAGATTACTTACAGGAGGCGGAAGAGAATGCCAAGGACCAGGCTGAAGTGTGGAAAACAGGTCTCGAATCCCTGTTGATCTTTGTGAGTTCTGAATGTGAGGTTGGAACGTGGCGGCGCTGACTGTTGGAATCCACTAAGCCAGCCTGGCTTAGTGGATTCCAACATAAAGTTAATCCGACCC